TATAATCTTCTATATAATACTTTCTTATTTTTATTTTTTAATTATTATATATTTTATATAAAAGTATAAACATAAACATTTATATAGAATTTTTAAAAAAAAAATTATAATAAATATACGGATTTAAATATAATTATTCTCAAAATTATAAAATGTTTTTAACTATGAATCTATAAGTATAGAAAATTTCTTCTAAATATATTATCAATTCTATTATTATTTAACTAAATTAGAAATAATATTTTATTTTCGCAGAATTTACATTATTTTACTTTTTATTTATTATCTCTGTTTATGTTAAATTTTATTGTTATATTATATATTCTATATAAACATAAATATAATAATGATTATCTTTTTATAAGTATAAGAAATTTTGCATCTTCAGCATGACTCATTAAACTTATCTGCTAGATTTTTTTTTGTAGAAAATCTATAACATATAATAAATCGAAATTATTCGTTATTAATTATTTCGTTAAATAAATTTAAAATAAATCGAAATCTATTCTTGAAAAATAAAAAAAAGAGGATTTTTCAACATGTTTTTATAAAGAAATATGTAATTTATGTATATTAATAAAAATATTTTATAAATTTGAAATTAATATTAATCTAATTTAATATATTTATATTATATTTCTTTTTTTTTATTTTAAGAAATACTTATATTTCTATAATAATAATATTTCTAAAATTTGTCTCTAACTTTTTGAAATTTTATATAATGTTTATAAAATAAACTTAAAATATTTTCAATACATTAGATTTAAAATGTATATATAATATTTTAATAATTTTAATAATATAAATAAAATTGTTTATAATTATAATATTTAAAATATTTTTCTAACAAATTTATATTTTTTTAATATATTTTGATAACAAACAATGATATATATATATATATATAAATGACATTATTTTATTATTTCATCTTTAATACATTAAGAAATTTTTTTTGAAAATATGTAATTATGTTTGATAAAAATATATTAAATATATTATATTATATTAAATATATTGAATATATCAAATATATGAAATATTTAAACAAAATTTATGTATAATTTACTTTAAATGATGAAATTGTGTCACATTTTAGGTACTGCAGATGGCGAAGTAAGTGTAGAAGATGTTGAAGGTTCTGGTGATTTTCAAATTATTTCTGAAATTTGGATTGAACCTCAATGTGGTTATTCTCAACTACCTGCACAATCTACAGCAATGTATTTGCATCATTTGCAATATTATGAGATTCCAGATGCAGTAAGTATATACATTTTGCATTTAATTTTTTTATTGTTCAATTAAAATCAATTGAATTTGTTATTGAATTTTTCTTTTTTCAAACTTAGATAGAATTCTATAATTTTTTTTCATAGATGAAAAAAAATTTTTCACAAAATTTACATTGGTATCGATATTCGAAATTAAAATCTTTTTTATTTTAACATATTTTGCTATAAGAATCAAATTTATCAAAAGAATCATAGTTCATAATTGAAATTATTTTTTTGAAAAATGATTTTAGATTTTATTAATTTTTAATTAATATGATATTAAATTTTTTTAATTTTTAATATAATGATTCTAGATTTTATTAATTTTCAATTAATTTTATTTACATTTATTATTTATTATTTATATAATTATATTTATTATAATTATATTAATAAAGGATATGCTTAATTTTATTTAGAAAATAAGAAGGAAAAAATTATGAATAATTTTAAGTTCTTAAAGGATTTATAATAGCTAATAATATCTATTCACATATTGATATTAAAGGAATTTCTTATAAAATTATTTTATTGTATAATGAATAAATTAAAGAAAGAACTAAAAAATGATAGTNTGATAATTCGTATGTTTTATTATATTATAATTATAATATAATTATATATAATATTATAATTTTAAACATTTGATCAGTAATTTTTTAAAGATAAAAATTTTAATGATAAATAAGATTTATTTAATTATTGATATTATCATAGTGATTTTTATATAAAACATTTATTTAATTATCCTAAAAATACACCATTTATTATAATAATGAAATAATAATGAAAAGATTTTGTTAAAAAAATTTCGAACATAAGATGTATAATAATATATATTCGGATTTTATATAACTAATACAAATATATTTTTATTGATTTGAATAATTTATAAAAATACAAATTTTTTGAAATTAAATACATTAATTTGGTTATAAATATTAGTTTGCTATGCATTAATTTATTTTAATGCTTGAAGGAGTTTATATATACATTTGTTGTGAAAAGTATCAAATTTTCTTATTTCAAATTTCATGATACAAATAAAAATTCTATGAAATTATTTCATTCTATAAAAAAAAAAAATTAAGATTCAAATAAGTCTATTTATTCAAAATATGCAAATTCGTATTTTTATAAAAGAAATAAAATTTCATAACCGACTATCAAAAAAAATTCCTTTCATTAAGTAGAATATATATATATATATATTATAATAATATTTATAAATATTTTAGTATTTTTTAAATTTATC